AAATTTGGGTTCTTATTTGTCCATCTTGGCAGTTCAATGCTGTGGTATTAAATGCATTCTCAGAACACTCATTCTGAAAAAATGTTCTAATCCGTCTCTTGCATTTTTCATTTTCAATAACAGTTGACTTTTTATGTAATTTTGTCAATGGCACATATAGAAAACGAATGTTCAGTTATTTTCTTCTTTTCTGTATTTTGTTCATAGTTCTTTGTGTTAGTGAAGATGCATTATTCTTACTCAGAATTAAATAAAATCTGACCCATACAATCTGTTTTTCTAAAAATTAAATCAGACAAATAAAAAGTTATGTTTCAAACAGATCTGTATAACAACAAGGAGATGAATGAGAATTTCCATCTATAAAAAGAGAGTGGCTTTTTCCATTGCTCAGGTGCAAAGCATGCAGTTACCTATTACGTGAAATTTGCAGGCATCTGTGGTTCACAATGAAAAGTCTACTTTATATTTTCTTAAATTTCAAATCTAAAGAAATCCTGTTCCATAATAGTGGTGGCAACATTTATGATTAATATTTTATAAAAAAATGAATGTCACTGTGATATATTTTATAGTCTGAGTCCTTCTAAATTGTACATCACAGAGGTACAGAGTTAAAACATTTCTCCCTAGAAATATAATACCTCCTATTATTATTATTATTATTTTTTAAGATTGTATTGGGGAATCAGGGAAGGGGAACAGACAAGTACTGTCTTTTGTTCTTCAGTCTAGTTGTGGAGGACATCGCTTCACTGGCCCAAGTTGATATTATCATTGTGTTCTTCCTGGGTGAGGCAGTCGCTTGCTGGCCATTGGACGGCCACTCACAGTGGCTTATGGCAGCTCACACCTGCTGCTGGCCAGCCCCACTGCAGCCTACGCCATCGCTGGCAACTCACAGCAGCCAGCTCCAGGTCAAGCTGTTGTTCACCATCTTAGCATCACAGCGTCACTGGCCCTCATGTGGGATCCGAACCAGGGCTCTGCTGCTCAGAGCTGGTGTCCCAAGCCAACTCTTAACCAACATGCCACTCGGCCAGCCCTTTTTTTTTTCTCCATTATGCTCCTTGACACTATGTGTTCAATACTTAGTTTTTATTTCTCATCAAACTTGCCTTTCCACAATAACACAGGATTTTTATTTCAGTTGTAGTTACAACTTTCCATTAGTGTAAGGATATATATTTACTCATCACTCACCACAGAAAACAATGACATCTTTTCTGCTCTGGGGGTTCCAAAAGCTAAATGTTTCTCTGTTTAGACAAATCTTTGCAATTATTCATAGAAATGCTGTAAAACAATGTGGAAATCGTAAATTTATGTCCCATAAATTCTAAAACAACCACCTTCTTCCTTTTCCAGTTCTTTCTATTTTTATCCACTTGCATCCATGGAAATTTCCAGAACATGTATGTTACAAATGAGCACCTAAATGGAACCATGATCTGCTGTCTGGAAACAACCACTGTGATGCTTTTGTCATTATTCTTAGGTGATCATGGAGACCATACCCATGGTTTGCTCAATTTGCTCTAATTTTGATGCAGGCTATTGCTAAATGTCCTCTCCCCACTCTCCTCTCCTCATTTCTTCTCTGGGGAATTGTCTGCCTCCCTAAAGAAACTTTCAGCATTATCATCAGTTAGTTTTAATTAACTTCACATACTTGAATGATGGTATGCTGGATGTTAGGAAACATAATTTAAATAGATCTGGTCTCTGCCTTCTGGCCACTTACACATTAAACCACAATAGAATGAGTTGTTATTTTTAATAGGCCAGCAAGTAAAACATTTTTTTATGTAAAACTTTCTAAAAAATTAGGTAATCAATTGCCTTCCTCCATAAAGTTTGCTTAATAGTGCATAATGAGATATGGTGAACAGCTAAAAATGCCCAGGAAGGGTATATAGAATGGTTCCATTTTGGGCTCCCAAAAAAGTGAAAATGACTTTGGCAGCTGACAGTTGGCATTGACAGCTAAGCTGAGATATTTTCAACAAACATAAGCAATTCCCTAGAATCTAAACAATTACACGAAGCTACTCTGTGACTATGGAGTGGAATAAGACAAAGGCACGTCTATTTCATGACCTGGAGGTCTGAAATAAAACAGAGACCAGGACATTCAGCAACCACATAAATCAGCATCATTAGCCACTGCATCTTTATAACAGCAAATCTAGTTCTGCCTTAATGTTTTTGCTTTCTAGGTAAATGTTACCAACATATCTATTGCTATATTGATCCCAATTCTGACAGCATCCAATCCAGAGCCCTATTTAGCCTATTCAAAATGTAATGAGGCATTTTACAGGACCAGTACTTAGGCCCAAATATTATACTATAACACGTCTCTCCTACACTCTCTTACCTACACTCACAGATTCATCTGGTATACCATCAACTTTGCCATAGCACACTAAATAAACCTAACTGTTCTATACTATTAGTAGGTATTTGGTGCTCTTTGGCTGGTGATCTTCAACATTCCTTAAGGCATACTTTTTATCATTTTCTTTTATTATATGGTGACAATTACAGTCATAAAATATTATTTTTAAACAGTCTTACTTGGCTTTATATGTAAGTGGACAGACATTTAAATTACGATGCTGGTGATCTGGATTCTCTCAACATATCAAGTTATATAATTTTCCATATTTTGAAAGACATGTCAATAAAATAAGAGGAGATAGAATAGGGAAGGTACTATAGACTGAATGTTTTTGTCCCCCTCCCCCATGTGTTGAAACCTAATCCCCAATGTGATATTAGGAAGTGGGGCCTTTGGAAAGTCATGACTGAGATTAGTGCCCTTACAAAAGAGAGCCCAGGGAGAGCCTTAGGCCCATCTGCCACGTGTGGACACAGATAGAACACAGGCATTATGAACCAGAAAGCAGGTCCTCAGCAGAAATGAATGCACTTGAACCTTGATCTTGGACTTCCAGATTCCACAACAGTGAGAAATACATTTCTGTTGTTTATAAGCCACCCATTCTATGGTATCTTTGTTATAAGAGCTTAGACTAAGAAGGCAATTGACATTTATTACAATTTTTATTGAATGACATGAACTTGACTTCAGTTGTCTTGTTTGCTCCTCACAGGAATTAATTATCTAGCTTATATTAAAATGTTAAGCAGTTTCAATAATTGTCCAAGGTCTCACTGCAAATGAATGTTTAAATTTGGAGATAATCTCAGTTTAAGCTATAAAATATATGTGTTTCTGAATCTGTTTCAATGAGAAAAGGAGCAAAATTAATAAAGCTAATGTAATACAATTGAAAGTGGTTAAAATTATAATAATTTCAAGAACTAATAAACTAAGAATAATTAAATTACAATGATCAATAATTGAAAATCAGAATCAGATTGACATTTTCTCTATCAAAATTAATTAAAAAAATGTCTAGTCTCCCTGGTATTTCCACCTTTTCTCATAACACCCTCTGTATTTTTCCCATAGTCTACTCTACTCTGGTCTCATAGATATCTTTGCTTTTGCTAGAAACATAAAGACAATAAGCCATGCTGTAGCTCAGGGCCTTTATACTTGCTCTTCTCTCTGTGTGTACATATGTGTATGTATAATATTACACATATATTATATCACACACACACACACACACACACACTCATTTTCCTTGACTACCCCATTCCCACCTCCATAATTGTGCTCCTTATCACACACCTGCTTAATGTTTTGCCCCTTAGAACTTAATATATAACATGCTATATGTTGTATTTATTTACATTGCTTTTGTTATTCCTACCTACAATAGATGCTATAAAAGAACTGGAGTTTGTTGCTGTTGGCAGTGGTAGTGATTCTGATACTTGGAGATAATGTTGATTTGTTTAGCTGGTTTTTTTTTTTTTTTTTGGTCACTTATGTAACCCCAGTGTCAAAAACAATGCCTGTTCCATAGCACTCACTCAATAAGTTCTTATTGAATAAATAAATGAAAACAAAATGTAATGAGGCTATATATAGCACCAGTACTTAGATTTAACATTTTAGGATCTAATGTAACTTCACATCTCACACAAATTCTAAACTCAAGGTATAACGTTATCACAGATAACAAAAGCAAACAAATAATCTCTAATATTTAAAAAACATCAAGTAATACAATTCAGAAATATAATCTCTAGCATTCTACTCTTTTGTACTTTATCTTACTTATTTCAATTCACCCACTTTCATTTCGATAAACATTTATAGATCGTCTATCCCAAACACCTTGCTAACTACTAAAAATGCCATAATTACAAGTATACCATTTGCTAGTTGTATGAACTTGGCCAAGTGACTCAACCTCTATAACCACTGGTGTCTTCACCTGTAAATTGTGACTAAAGACAGAAACTAATTAGTCATCAGGTTGTTATGCTGATGACCTAACATGAGATAGCATCGGATGATACAGGCCTGCAAACTGTTAGCCCTGCCCTCGGCAATCAAAGTCATCCAATTAATATTGTTCTTATCACTTATAAACAATGATGATGCTGATTAAGAAAACGTAATAGATTTGCCTTTGAATTCAAACAGTATATCTCATAAAGAAGGTAAATAATAATCTAATTTTAATAGCAAAGATAGGGAGCCAGATTGCATGTAACCAAGTTCCTTTCACACCATAAAGCTTGTCAATGCCCTTCACAGATTCCCAACTCTCTATGGTTCTGCCAAAATTACCCCTCGTCTTCCTCCACCCTCATGCTCACACATACATCCAGCCACCATTCCGAAGATAATTAGGGAGTTTTAACCTTTATTTTTCTTCCTTGTCTATAATGATACTCAGGCAAGCACTACTTTCCTTGGAACATGGTTAATACTACTGAGGGTCGTTTTCTTTCATTCTGCTCTTGATTTTGCTTCACGTTTGCTGGAACTTCAGGTAGTTTGGGAAGCAGTTTTAATGTAGATGAAGAGATTTGCTGTGGAGCTAATGGGGGAGGGAGGCGTGTTTACTTACAGTGTATTTCTAGCACCTGCATGGCCACCTGAGGGGTGGCGTTGAGGGACTCGTGGTCTACTCTGCAGATGACCGCCACACCGTCATCGCTCCTGTCCACTCGGAAATCCAGGGTGCTGCTGACCGTGAACGTCTTGCGGTTTGCATCCTCTTCTTTTAAATATTTTACATCTGAAAATACAGTATAAATTTTAAAATTCTGTGATATTCTCTTCCAAAATATGATTCCATGGACTCAAGACTCTTACCGGAAGCACCTTCTCCCTATCTTTATCAAATGTTGAAGAGCAAAATTTGTTAATTTAACATTTAACCCACTTGAATTTGAGAAAATAAAAAATGCAACTCCTTCAAAATTAAATTCGAAAGGTTAAATACAAAAATAATAGGGCAGAACACGGCACTTCTATTCATTTAGTGCAAGATTATTTCTTTTTATACTCCACTGGAAAAATCAGGCCATTTTACAATATTAATCTCCCATTTTTAGATCTCAGTTTTATTAAAGGATAATCTTAATTCTCCGAGCCACAAGCACAGTTGGGGAAAGCAAATTCACAACTATCTGGCTATGCCCAAAAGAAAGTACAATGTATTTGAGCTAAATTTTTAATACAAACAAAGTAAGGTGAACATAATTGCTCACGAATACTTCAGATGAGAAAGTTGTCATCTTTGGTAAAAAAAATAAGAAAGACTGTCATCTGAATATTTTGAATATATATAAGTATAAGTATAAATATAAGTATAATTATAAATTGAATATAAATATAATATAAATACATTTGCAGTGAAATTATGTATTGCGGTAAATGCTCTTCACTTGGCAGAAGGATTCATTTCAACATGAATGAGAATACTCCCCTCCAGATGTGAATTCACTTATTGATAGTTAAACTTACTGTACACAATTTAGATTCATTGTAAAATGGTGCACTTGTGGATTATTTATTCTCTGTGAAAAAGAGGTTTGATCATGTTTTAACTTAATTAGAAATTTCTCAAGTATAAAGTAGCTGATAAGAAGAGGGCAACTTTAATGAATTAGAAATAAAAATCATAGACTAATATTAAGATATTATAACAAGATCTTAAATACAGTTGAGGGCAAAATCATTCTGTTTTCTTATGCTTACATTTCAAATGAACAATAATATTTTCAGAAAGAGAAGTCTCTTGCAAAAAGTGCATAAAATATTTCATTTTTCAATGAACTAAATAATTTATTTTTAAAATACTTATATGACAACAATTAAGTTCAGCTCCATTTTTGTGCTCTGTGCAAAGATCTGACTTTGAAAATAATATTGAATTTGATGTATTCCATGGGTAGATACATTTGCATGGCTTATTGAGTTTTACCTATTTCTGGAGAAGTATGACTTTATCTTATTGTTTATAAAAATTAAAAATAAACATTAGTAGATAATAAAACTAGATAAATGTTCTATGTCTTGTTCTTGTAAATACATGTTTATGATTGTGTTCACAAGTTAGAAAAAATCACCTGATTAAAATCTTTACTACCAAAAAACATTTTATGTAACTTAGGCAGTTTTTCAGGGTAAGAAAAATCTCTAACATTTGGGAAGGTGGGAAGGGTATTAAAATCTTAATTCTGTCTTTTAATTATAAATCAATCATATAGGACACAGGGTTTTCCATAATAAACATGTGTCTTATGAAATATTGTATTTTTGCTAACCAAAGTCATTTCTGAGATTTGTGCAATTGAAAATGAGTTTTAACCTTGGTTAAAAACATATTTAAGTAAAAAGATGAAATGATCTTTCAGTCAAAATAGGTCAGGATAGTACAGATGCATTTAGAGTTCTTTGCTACATTAAAAAATAATTAAAAGGCTCTTTAACTTTTCAATGTTTCATAAATTTATACACAGTGTTGCCTCATTTTTATGTTTTATATTCTTTCCTATAAATCTATGTCCAGTGTTTTCTTGTTCATAGCTCTAAGTGGTGGTAGCATAAGAAAAATTTAGATTTGACAAACCACTTTTATAATTGTCTAAAATATAAGCTAAAATATTTCAAAATATATTTGCTAATTGTTGAATTTTAATAACAGCTGCATTTTAAGATCCCACACATCTGCTTCCTTTAGCTGTTTCTGTTTCCTTTACCAAAGTATTATTTAATGTAATATTAATTGGACACATAAATCTGAAAACAATCGTATATAACATAAAATTTTAATGAGCATCATACAAATAAAATAAACAAAAGTATAATTTGTTGTTTTTAATACAAGCTTATGCGACAGCTTATGTGGTTACTAGTAGGCAAATAATGAACAGGAAAAGGCACTGAGAAGAGCCAATCATAGCATCTTTCTCCATTTATATTGACCACATCCACCCCAAACAGATGGGAAATAGTACTTAAAATGTTTCTCTATTTCCACTTTCTAGCTTTATAAGATAACTGAGGCTTTACATAGTTGTAGGATCAATAGAAAGTTTATTTATATTGCATAGTTAATTCACTGATTCCATGTGTATTCTTGTTTCATGTTGTCTTGTTTTAGAGAATTTCCTTTTTTTTTTCTTTGTCATGTTACTACTTTACCTGGTGATCTACAGCAGAATTGTTGCATGAAATGTGCATACCAGTCACCTTGGATCTTATTGAAATGCAGATTCTGATTTAAATATGTTGCGGGATGGAGCCTTAAAATCTGCTGCCGACTCATGGACCATAGTTTGAGGAGCAACAGTATAGTGGATACATCAACACCAGAGATATGACCAAAGGAATATTGGGATATTGGGACTTACTCTACACACCTACCTTTCTCCCTTCCTTTTTCCCTTTTGTCTTTCCTTCCTTCCTTCCTTCCTTCCTTCCTTCCTTCCTTCCTTCCTTCCTTCCTTCCTTCCATCTCTTCTTCCTTCCATCCCTCTCTTCCTCTCCCCCTCCATCTCTCTCTCCTCTTTTGCTAAACTTCCATTCTACCTTTACTATTTAAAATGTATTTCTTAATTTTTTCCATTTTTCAAAATATGCATGTCATGTATTATATAATGCATTGGTGCAATGGCTAGCAAAAGTTGGGGGCAAATAATAAACAGAGGAATTTATAGGATTACTTTCCTTCATAATCTTTGCAGCTACTTCTCTTTCTCCAAAAGACATTCTGGACATTTAAGTGCTTGTTCTTAAAAAATCACAACAATGGTTGTTCTTGGGAGGTGGTAGTTGGGAATGTTCTCATTATATTACTGTACTTACATTGTATACATTAGACATTTTATATAATAAAGTTTATAAAAAATTCTGCCTAGGAAAATTCCTTAAGTGTACTTCTCAACAAAAGTTATTTTCCTAAACATTTTTTGGTGAAATCACAAAAATGTGTAGTGGTTTTTATATTATGTATTTTTATGAGACTTGAATTATAGAATAGCAATCTGCTTATATTTGGAATTTTAGGTTATTTATATCAAAGAGCTATGGTGGAAAAAAAATGGCAGACGTAAGATTGCTGGAGCCCCACAAATCAGTAAGTTTAAAAGTTCTGAGTCAGGTTAGCTAAGGAACAAAGCAAAGGGTCATCTGAACTTTTCCACATCCAAATCTTTCATAAAATATCAGACCTTAGAAGATACCTCCACATCTGTCTTCCCAGATTTATAATATTAGGTCACTCTACCACTTTTTGACTGGATTTTTAGAAATAAAACCCTTTAAAGTGAAGTTCCTTGGGGAGTTGCCTCGTTGCCACAATAGTTCCAATCACCCTGAGCCCTGCAATATTAACTATTCTGATACAATTGCTCTCTTCACTGCTGTGATTTTGATCTCATTTAAACAGGCCTGTAAAGAGATAGTCTCATTTTTATAAAAGGAAACCCTGTCCTGCATCCTGTAGTAACCCTCTGGATCAGATTTGTGCCTGAAGTGGGCCAGTTTCCTTCTAATCCATTGTAAGGCTGATAGGCCACACTAAGGACAAGGCAGTACTTAAATACAGCATCTGCCTAGTTCCCAGTGCTGAAATCACCATGTTTCCTCATCATTTGGAGATATCTCTTAGAAATTATGTAGGGTATTATGTGACTTCTCCTGACCTATTTGGGTCTTCCATCCTCTGGCTATCTGCCTCCATCACTGCGAGGTCCCAGTGCGTACCCCATATATTGATGCTTATATAGAACTTGAATTTTACTATTATTTTCAGAGTTAAGGGTTTTTAATGTATCAGATGATAGCTTTAGTAGAAGAATTCAAGGAATTTATTCTGAATCCATACTGCTGCTATTAACGGTATTTCAATGATTTGAACCATTGTTAGTAAGCTGGCTGTATGTCTTCTTGCCATAGAGAGAAGAGAAAATTTGGTTTTATTGTCAAAATTTTGGAGTGACCATATTTGGCAACTGGATATGTTGTGCAATTACAGCTTAAAAGAAGTTCTATAGATCAACATTTCTAAAACAAAAATACATCATTTTTAGAAGATAGCCAATTTCACCATATTTTTTTTAATTGACATAATGTAACTATGGTAAACTCATACATTAACTTAGATGTATATTTAAAAACCAGTTTGTCTTAGAGGAAATGTCAGTACTTTTTTCCTTTAAGATTAAGTGTTGAAAGGTATTTTACAAAGCATTTTTATTTAACATTCAAGGTAAGAATTTCATTTTATATCCGTTTTAAACTTTCTCCAGACCAAAAATTTTGAAGTGAAGCCTTACATTGTAGAACTTTACAGTCTGGTAACCACTATCACTTTTTCACTGGAGAAGACTGCAAAACAAACTCTTGAGGCAAATGGCATAGCTCTCCATGAGTACTCCCTCATACTACTCCAATCTGCAAAAGGGAGATTTTTAAAAAATCCTCCTAATACTCATCTTTTATATAGGTTGACAGTCACAATCCTGATTTTTCTAGCTGTGTCTTCACCATTAACTGGCAATACAGAGCAACTATTTCACTTGGCAAGAAATTTTACTGAAACTCAGTTCTTGTTAGTAGATTTCAAAAGCTCATGAATAAAATAACATTTATGGAGGATTGATGAATGGGAGATGCTTTGTTTATTTAAATATTCTAATCTCTCTCTCTCTCTCTCTCTCTCTCTCTCTCTCTCTCTCTCTCAGTTTATTCAGGCAAGCAAAATGTTATAATTTTTATCAAGTTTCA